TTACGACTGGCTCAAGGTCATAACAAAACGGGAGACCATGCAGGGGTTAAAGTGTATAAAAATGAATACAGGTCCTTCTCAAAAAATTAGCATATTGTGATAAAGTTCATTATTTTCCATAATGTAATGATAAAAATTAAACTGTCATATATTTTAGATTCATTGCACACCAACTGAAATATTTCTGGTCTTTTATTGTTTTAATACTGATGATTTTTGGTATACAGCTCATGAAAACCCAAAATCCCTGTCTCAAAAAATTAGCATATCATGAAAAGGTTCTCTGAACGAGCAATTAACCTCGTCATCTGAATCAACAAAGTAACTCTAAACACCTGCAAAAGATTCCTGAGGCTTTTAAAAACTCCCAGCCTGGTTCATTACTCAAAACCGCAATCATGGGTAAGACTGCTGACCTGACTGCTGGCCATCATTGACACCCTCAAGCAAGAGGGTAAGACACAGAAAGAAATTTCTGAACGAATAGGCTGTTCCCAGACTGCTGTATCAAGGCACCTCAGAGGGAAGGAAAAAGTGTGGCAGAAAACGCTGCACAACGAGAAAAGGTAACCGGACCCTGAGGAAGATTGTGGAGAAGGGCCGATTCCAGACCTCGGGGGAAGCAGTGGACTGAGTCTGGAGTAGAAACATCCAGAGCCACTGTGCACAGGCGTGTGTAGGAAAGGGGCCACAGGTCCCTCATTCCCCAGGTCAAGCTACTTTTGAACCAGAAACAGTGGCAGAAGCTGACCTGGGCTACAGAGAAGCAGCACTGGACTGTTGCTCAGTGGTCCAAAGTACTTTTTTCGGAATAAAGAAAATTTTGCATGTCATTCGGAAATCAAGGTACCAGAGTATGGAGGAAGACTGGGGAGAAGGAAATGCCAAAATGCCAGAAGTCCAATGTAATGTACCAACAGTCAGAGATGGTCTGGGGAGCCATGTCAGCTGCTGGTGTTGGTCCACTGTGTTTTATCAAGGGCAGGATCAATGCAGCAGCTATCAGGAGGTTTTGGAGCACTTCATGCTTCCATCTGCTGAAAACTTTATGGAGATGAAGATTTAATTTTTCAGCACAACCTGGCACCTGCTCACAGTCCCAAAACCACTGGTATTACTGACCATGGTGTTACTGTGCTCAATTGGCCTGCCAACTCTCCTGACCTGAACCCCATAGAGAATCTGTGGGATATTGTGAAGAGAAAGTTGAGAGATGCAAGACCCAACACTCTGGATGAGCTTAAAGCCGCTATCGGAGCATCCTGGGCCTCCATAACACCTCAGCAGAGCCACAGGCTGATTGCCTCCATGCCACGCCGCATTGAAGGCTGCAAAAGGATTCCTGACCAAGTATTGAATGCATAACTTAACATAATTATTTGAAGGTTAACTTTTTTGGTATTAAAACACATTTCTTTTATTGGTCGGATGAAATATGCTAATTTTTTTAGACAAGGATTTTGGGTTTTTCATGAGCTGTATGCCAAAATCATCAGTATTAAACAATAAAAGACCTGAAATATTTCAGTTGGTGTGCAATGAATCTAAAATATGACAGTTTAATTTTTATCATTACATTATGGAAAATAATGAAATTTATCACAATATGCTAATTTTTTGAGAAGGACCTGTATATAACAGATGATGTAAAGAAATTTGAATAAATTATTTTACCTTGCACGCCACGCGGTGTGGACAGAGCTTTCCAAAACCGAGGGGAGGCTGAATTCTCCGGAGCAAGGTGACCACGTCAAGGTGTTTTATCCTCCCCCTGAAAACAGTGAAGAAGTCATATTGTAAATTTGACCATATCTCTTTTGTCATGCTAATTTTATTCCTGCTCACTTAAAACTTACTTGGCCTCTGGGTCGTATTCGGCCCAGATTCTCTTAAACTCATCAAGATGATGAGGCCCCAAAATTGACCAGTCACGTGTCAGATAGTCAAAGTTGTCCATTATTACAGCCACAAAAAGGTTGATGATCTGGAAAAGGAGGACAAAATCAGTCTCATCCCTTCTAGCTACCAATAAATGACATTTAAAATTTTAAGCTTCAATACTATGATCTGAAAAAGTAGAATAACTTATAAATTAAGTTCCCTTGCTCAGAAAAGTACCTTTTTGTCCTTTTGTCTTCTGCACTTACCAGAAAGGCACACAGCATGTAGAAGCTGACAAAGTAAATGATGGCAAACTGGCTGCCACAATCGTCATGGGTTGTGCTGTTTTCATTGGTTGACCCTTTCTCGCATGGGTGATTGGGCGAACACGCCAGCATGATCTCTTGCCACGCCTCACCAGTTGCACATCTGACGAGCACAACAAAAATACAAACATGCAGCATGCAGAGATCCATGCAAAAATATTTAAATACACAAAAAAGAAAAGCAAAATTGCATGTAAAGATGTATGCAAAAAACACACACATACATAGAGGGAGACACAAGAAAAAGCACAAGTGTGAGCAATTACAATAGCAATTTCACATCTTTACATACAGTGCCTTGCAAAAGTATTCATACTGCTTACTTTTTTTTTTTACATTTTCTCAATATGATAAACTTTATTGTATTTTATTTGAATTTCACCATCACAAAGTAGTGCAGAAGGAAGATGAAACTTACAAATTAAACATCAGTAGTGTATCATGCATTTTTTTTTTCATTCAACACCATATTCTAAACCCCCAAAAATATAGAGCGTGTAATATCAGCATTAATACAGCTGTTCTGTGAAGGCTTTGGATAGAACACTGAAGAACAACGGGGTCAAACTTATGAACAAAGAAACGTCAGAAACAATGACATCCGCTCTAATCGCGCTAACCTGAAGAGCAGCAGCACTGCCTGAGGGAACGTCTGGAAATTGTTGTTCCTGTTGATTTGCGTGTGGTCCCGCAGCGCTATCTTACCAAACATCTGCACAGTAGGAGCGAAGGGGGGGGAAAGAGGGACAGTCACAGCGTTCAGCAAATGATGTCAGCATTGTCAAGAGGGCGGTCAGAAATAGAGGCCGGCTGTCTCCAGCAAATCAAATCAAACTGCAACTCCACATCAAGAGGGAAAGAGACAACACAGCAGCTTACACAAGCAAAGAAAATACAGGATAAGGGCCACAAAAAAAGAGAGAAGAAAACAGTGGTCAAAAGAAGTGAAGAATGACGATTTGACTGACTCCAGGTGGACAGATGAAACATGAAGTTCTGCTACAGGAGAGGAAAGGAGAAAGCTGACGACGGGGTTCGGGTTGCAATGGGAACAGCTTACCTGCATGCCAATGACGGCGTATATGAAGAAGAGCATCACTATTAGCAGAGCTACATAAGGCAGAGCCTGGAAAAAGGAGAGAAACATCAGTGCTGAGCATTTAGAAGCAATACGCACCAAAACTGCAGACCATTCACTTTTAGTTCCCTTTTCTTCCGTAGTTATGAACTTATTGCTATAAGAGGTCAAAAGTAACTAGTTGGCTCTTCAGGAGGTAAAAGTGAATGTGTCTGAAGTGGCACAGCACCAAAAACAAGCCAGCAGAAACCATCTGACGACACAGTTAGAAACCTTAAGACGGGAACTGATCTCTAAATTTCAGGCATCAGACCAGCTTTACCAGAGATCAGCTGCTGAGCTGTTGGCTAAAATTGCTCCTGTACATTGGTTAGTCAGGCCAAATCATTGTTTTTAAAAACTACTTAAGACTAAATATTATATATATATAGAGCTAGAAAATGTCACAATTTTTAAAACAATAAAACGGAAAAGTTGATGAGTGACTTTAGAGGATTTTGGGATGCCTCCATACAGTAGAAATGCACAACCAAATTCTGATGATGAAGTTGCCTGTGAAACTCTGGACTGCAACTGCTTGGATTGTAAACATAATTGACAGTGCAACAAGAAGTGGCCCAACTTACCAAGCACAAGAGAGAGAACAAATTCCCTTTTGTCTTTTATCTGCAAGTCAATCAAATGATTTAGATTTTTTTTTTGGTGCTTTGTTGAACTTATGTCATCTAGTGCTTATCTTGCCTACAGGGAAATGACGAGCTTTAGAGTTAGTGATAGTAGGATGTGTAAGAGTTAAAGGAATTGAGAAGGGAGCTAGAAGATGAAAAAAGGAGAGGCGGAGAGGGGAAAGAAGTAGAAAAAAGTATTTATAATTTCATCCTATTTCCCTAACTACGCTGCTGGAATCCAAACCTCCTCTCCATTACCTCCCTCATCCCATCTCCATGACTTTCTGCAAAAATAAAGAGCAGGGAGGGATGAGGTAAGGAAAGGAGACATTGTTGGGTTTCAATCGTGTAATCTTGGCTCTTCAAACAAGACCGTAGTTTTATAAGAAAGTGCAAAGTGAGTTAGATTAGCACTTGTGCGCTGCCCCATTTTCTCTAGCATGTAGTGTCCGGTTCTCCCCTCACTTGGAAAGATTTGATGAAGGTCCACAGCAGGGTCCGAATCCCTTCCCCGCGAGATAGCAGCTTCACCAGCCTCATCACGCGGAACAGCCGGAAGAAGGTGATGGAGATCCTGGCGTTCTCTTCAGAATTCTGAAGTCCCTTTTGGTGGGGTTTGGTGTTTTTTTTTCAGAGGAAAAAAAAACACAGGACGCATGGGAACACATGCAAATTGATTCGGGAGGGAAGCACACACACACACACACACACACACACACAGTTCACACACACACAGTTCACACAGACGAGTATAAATGGGCAATGACAGACATGCGTATATGCACAAAGACACATGAGCCACACAGGTCGTTTGTATGCATATTACCATAAACACGAAGTCGTGGATGTAAATATGCATAACACACATATAAACACACACACACACACAAACACACAGAGTTAATAAATGGAAATCAGCGTCCTAAGGAAATCCCATCAAAATCAAACAAGAAAAGAGATCTGGGAGAGAATCGGGCAGTCATGCTTATTTACGTGACTTCATGGAAAAATTATTTGGCAACAAATAAAATTATCCAGAAGCTTCTTAATGATAAAGGTCTCTGACTCCTAATTGGCAAAACTGTATTTTTGATCTGGATGGCTATGCTTCTTGGTCAGTCACAGCAACTGAGACTGACCAAAAGTCTTCTACTCTGACAGGTACAGGTGCAATTTTAATAAATTGGGTTGCAATCTAAAGTGAATCCCATATTTGTTACACACTGACGTATTTCGAGAGTCCATTTGTATTACTTTTGGTGATTATGGCATACAGTTCAGCTCAAAATATTGTTTTTCAGAGAACTTGACTATTATCTAAGGCTAATAATAAAAAAAATGTCCAAAAGTGTCTATACACTATATAAACACTTGATATTTTGTGTAAGTGCTGCAGACACGCAGATCAGCCTGTAGCTCTGCTGAGGTGCTAAGAAAGCCCAGGTTTCTTTAATAGCTCCATTCAGCTCATCTGTATTGTCACTGGCCGGTCTAGCACAGTGATACCTCCGTTATTATACCCAGTATTTGTACTTTCGTCAACATGGCCAGGTAGCAAGTCCAAAAGGAAAATAAAAAAAGATTTAAATCATCTTAGACGTGTATGAAGTGACTTTTAAAGCATCAACTCCAGAGACTCTGTGCTCTGTGAATCTCCTCCAAAGTAGTGAATGGATTTTCCAGTGTGATGCAGCTCTGGTTATCCTGGTCATTGGTGTACAAATTTCTACACTTTTCCCTCCTTCTACATTTTTCATTATACTGTTCCTTGAACAAACAGAATAGCATCAGTTACCATAATTAAATTACTGAAATTGATTTTCTCGATTACATTCTAATTTATTAAGATGCACCTGTACATACTTCCATGAAACTATATAGACACCAGGTAAAATCAGATATAGTGTGAAAGCCCAAGCGTGTTAGCTAATTATCATAGATCACAACTGGAGAATAGGAAAACATTGTAGCTAAGCAAACACTTTCATGTCCCGTATCTGATTACATCTTCCTGAAACTTTGTTAAACACCACAGAAGTTGCCTTTTCAACAATCAATTACTTGGCGTGTGTTGGAAAATTTGCCTTTTTGTTTATAAATTGTTTATACAAAATTTAAAAAAATGCAAATTTGGAGAAAACCCTTATTTCCAACATCTTAAAGCCACTGACGCTGCCCACAGGAACTAACAAGCGATTAAATATTTAGACGTCTGGCGGAGTGCTTTTCTAATATAGATTTATTTATTTATACCACTTCTGCTCGCTCCGTGTGGGGAAAAAAAGGGGACGATATAAAGTGCAGTACCAGTTATCAGTATTTCTGTCCAGCAAAAACAGTAAAAACTACAGAGACGATATGACTAAGGGTCTAATTAATGGGTTAGAAGCGAAGTCAGGACTAACAATAAAAACAGCAAAAATGACGAGGAAATATTAAACAATCTGAAAGTGACCCATGAAACACGGCATCCTGTCTAAAACTTTATTCTATTTTGCCATTTGTATTTTTCCAAGAAGCCATCAAGTCCTCATGTTAATCCCACAGAGAACACACTGTGTGCTCTTACAAAGAACTGGTCATTCTCCACACATCTCATTGCAGTTTGGGACAACAGAATATTACACATACCTTTTAAAAACAACACTTAGCTAAATTATGGGTAATTTTGTGCGCTAAAACTCAAACGTTTTTATTTTAGGATGAATTTTGCTACCTTTAACGATAGAAGTCAACTTCTTTTAAGGATAGATTTTGTCCCAGACTCCACTGACAGATAAGTGGAAAACGACGCGTCCTTCTCAGGAGTGGAAATCACAGTTCAGCACTGCAAGTAATACCACAACTGGACCACAGTGGGCGCCACTGCACCAAGAGAAGAGTTGGGCAAGTGGGCAGGAGAGGTACAGTGACAGAAAGTGACAGAGAGAGGAGGAGAGCGAGAAGGAGAGGCTGAAGATGAAAAATAGCTTGATTTAATCAGATACAAACAAAACGGCAAACAATTTGAAACTGAAACATAGACAGGTGCAGTGCCTGGCTAAAGAGAATGTTTTGTCACAAACATTAATTTGTGTAACAGACCAAGACAAAGTTGCACATTATTTTGAAGTGGAAGGTTTTCTTTTTTGAAGAAGATAAAAAAAAAACCCTTGAAATTACATCATGTATATTCTCTCAACTTCAGTTAAGCGTTTCTGATAGATGCATCTCTGCTCCAACACACTGGAATCAAATGACTCAGTTACCTCCTAAAGCATATTATCAAATTCAGCAGAAGCCATTTGTTAACTTAAGGTGGGTTGGAGCAGACATGTATAAGAAAGCTGCAAGATAGAATATTGGGAACTGGAGTTGGAGACGATTTATCTAGTCCATTTCATTGTGTTTATTTAAGATTGTTGTTCTGGAAGATGAAGCTCAATCTTCATGTCTCTTACTAAGATTTTCCCCCAGGCCTGCCCTATATTTAGCTTCAATCATACTTCCATTTACTCTGACCAGCGTTCTTGTCTCTGCTGAAACAGAGACAACAATGGCTTTCAGTTGCCTTGGAGTGCACAAATAATTGTCCTGTCAACAAATCCGTCCACCTGTGAACTTTATACTGACGTTAAATGGACTTCACTGAATAATTAAGTTATGGTATCAGATAAAAGGGGCTGAATCTATGTTTTATTTGCAAATAATATTGAAAACCATAATTTTGCTTCCCCTTTATAAATTACTTTGTGTTGGTCTAAAACATTAAATGCATATAAAATATACTGAAGTTTGTTTTTATAAACTTGGTCCTTCTTAAGGCACTGCAGTTAGATGGATGGATAGATAAACGGATGGATGTGGAGGCCAGTGGAGAAGAGAAAAAGGCTGCGTGATGGCGTGATCATGATGACTTGGACCAACGTGAAAGTTACCACAATAAGAAACACAACGGTAAATCTACACAAGTCACAGGACTCCAGTTATACCAGACCTGCAATACGCAGTGTCCCTTACCGCACATTCACACACGCACACACACACAGACATATACATTTATATATACATTCACAATATAAACAAGATGAACAGGGATGTAACTCTGAGCATGCTCGAGCGACAGGAGTAAGATGACACGCCGGAATGCTTTTGATGGTCAGAAAGAGGGATAGAGAGAAGAAAGGAGGGATGGAAAGATGATGGAGGAGAGGAAGGGAGGCGGACGAGGTTACCGTTGGGGCGTACCATTGGCCTTACCACATGGGGGTGAGAGGAGGAAGAAGAGGAAGAGGAGGACGAAGAGGAGGAGGAGGACGAGGACGAGTCAGCTGGCTTTAAGGAAAGGCAACAAAGATCAGCACCAGAGTAGCGCCTGCATGCCTTCCTGTATGTGTGTGTGTGTGTGTGTGAGAAACCCACTCCCCCACTTTCCCGCCTCCCTCAAACCACAACACAGGAGTTCAGACTTTGATCAACCTTCACATATTGGTGACAAGAGTCATCTCATCTGGGCCTAAAGGGAGATTTATGTGTGATCTTAGGGTACAGGCAGATGGCCGCCATCGCCTCCCAAGGCCACATAAAATCCCTCCCTATCAAAGCAGCGGATGGCTGAAATATGTAGAACCTGTGAGGAACACATCTGTCCGAAGCTTTAAGGTCCCCAACACTTCTTGATTGATAGAGCTGTCTAGATCTTTATAGGCTGATGTCATGGAAACAGATGTCTCTGCATATATGATGTGGCCTCACTAAAGTTGAAGTAAGCCGCTTCAACTGAGACGGCGTGTTTACCGAATGCATCTAGTTTCATGAAGGTGATTATTTTTGGCTGATGGTGGCTTGAAAAGTTAATAAGAATTGGGTTCATGTGTGTCTCGATGCAATTTATTTTAAGGCCATTTGTGTCCATTGCAAGACTTGGCAATAACAGCCTGTAGGGAGACACCTGCTGGTCAGCCCTGGGATTACAGCATTTAAGGCTGGAGCCGTACGAACAAAACGTTTAGTGACACTCCGTGTTTTAACTGGCCATGTTAAAATGCCTTCCCACAATATAACTGCAATTAAAAATTATTTGTAAGGCTGGGTTTAAAGAAAGGGGAGGAAGTTAAATAGGAAAGCAACTAAGAAAAGGAAGTGAAAACCGGAAAGTCAGGGGATAAAAGTGTTATAAAATCATGGATAAAGAAAAAAAAAAAACACAGGAAATACTGAATACGAAATATATTTTGGGGAGAAGGAAGGGATTTTAACAAGGTCATACACATAATATGATCACACACGTATCATGAATAAAGCATATTCTTGTAATATTCACTCCAAACTTTAGTGAAAGAGTTTAAGCCTTTTTGCCTATAATCGATTTCTGTACAATGAGATCACTTGACTCTTTACATCCTTTCTTCAAACCATAGCTTTTACTTAAGTATGCTAATAAGCATATTCTAGTAAATTAATTTACTCTCTATAAGTTTCCCTCAAACTAAAGTATAAAATGGAGATCAAATTCTAAATTTGAATCAAAATGTGCATCACCAAAGTATTTAATAGTGTGCCCATTTATGTAACTGTATCCAATAAATTAGTTTACTTATCACTTGAATTGCACAATATATATATATATATATATATATATATATATAATTATTTTTATAAAGGAATGCCTTTTGTTACATCAGAAAAACGTAGTCTTTTAATTGGGTTCTGCAGAGTAAAAGAATCCGTATGGTTGAATAAAAACTTAAAAACTGTATGTGCTTAATTGATCTTAAATAAGCTGTAATATACTGAGTTAAAGTACTTCTAAATTTTCAGCTTAAGTAGGAACCACATGACAAACTACAGGAAAACGGTGTCCCCGAGTGAAATGCTACATGTGGTGAACGCGTGTCCAGAACAAACAGAGACAAACCAATCCAATAAACAGTCATCTGTTCAGGCCGAACCGTGCAGATGTGAGTGATTCTATCTGCAGCTCTGGATTGACGAGCTTATTTAACTTGAGCTGCTTTCTCACATTGCACATAAAATTTTCAAGCAAAAAAAAAAAAATCAGTTCCATGGGTAACATGGGAGCCCTCTTCAAATTGATACTTTAAGGATGTCAAGTTCTCTAATTATGAGAAATGTTTAAGTCATTACATGAAATGTATGCTAAACGACATTTCATGATGATGCAATTAGCGGATTGAGCTGCGAGGACGAGGGGAAGCCCATGTTACCCTGCTTGCATTTCAGGAGAGCAAGCAGCACCACAGACCGACGAGAGAAAAAAGATAAGGAGAAGGAGATATAAACATCAACAACAGAAGGTAAAGTGAACTGAAAAAGCTCAGAAAGTAAAGAAGAAAGGCAAGAAAGGTAGGAGAGGAGGAAGCATTCCAAAGAGAGAGAAATAGATGCAATCCATAACTGGCATCTTCTGCAAGACATCACGCAGAGCAAACCACTACCAATCTGTTCGTACTACTTCTACACAAACCAAAGTAAAATGTAAAAGAATCCGGACAAAGTTTAAGAAGCACCCGCAGGATGCTGGGGGAGAATTAAAGACCCAGCAATAGGGAAATATATTTTTCTTTCAATAGCTGCAAAAAAGAAACAAATTCAGCTAATCTAAGTCAACAGGCACCCAACAGAGCGGGAAAGTGGGCGCACCCAGATGGGATGTTTTGGCCTTTTAATTATTTACTAAAGACAAAGTGATAACATTTTAAAAGCTAGTCTGTCACGACGCTTCATTTCATACTTTATCAAAAAAAGCATTTCTTGTGCTATGCAGTTGGGGGGGAAAAAAAGGACTTGGACTTCTGTGACTAATGAAATGAAGTGGCAGGCTAACATTTAAAATGCCTATTTAACAGGGTCCTGGTTCAAAACAGGCATTGCTATCAGGATTGAAGTGCGGAGGGTTTCTTAAAAAAAAAAAAAAAAAGAGAGAGAGAGAGAGGACAACAAAGTATAGCTTTGGATACTCAATGCCCAAATTATTAAAAGCCTTCAAGTAAATAAAAGGAAAAGGACTTGGTGCATGCCTTTAGATTAGACGTCAGAATAAAATAAATTACTCATTCAATTAACCAAATCAATCAATTAATCTCTCAAACTGATCCAATCAGTTAACTAAGGTGCACAATTCAAACCAAAGTGTGCAGTGCAACATCAGTGAACTGTATAGATGACAAAGGTGTATATCACTGGCCCAGTAAACCTTGACATTCAGGTGACTTTTTTTTTATTGTTCTTTTCAACTAATATGAATTGTTATTATAACAATTTATTTATAAGATCTATATTCATTTAAAATGAAAATTCTGCCAAAAAATGGATTTTGTTAAACAACTATTTCCTGCAAAAAAAGGGGAAAAAAGCTGAATAAAATATCCAGATACAGTTGGGAATTTATCCTGTGTCTTTTAAAGGCAGCGTAGTCAGCCTCTCGTGGGGCAAATGGATTCTCTTTCTAAAGCCATGAGGAAAAAGTGCCAAACTCATACACTCCTGGGATAAACCACCCTTAATTTGTATGCAAAAGCCACTGTTTTCTGAGGTAAAACGTGCTTTTCAGCTCAGGGGAGTAGACCGATGTGCCACGAGCATTCTTGTCCTCAATGAAACTAATATCTGATAATATGGGATCATTTTCAGCTAGCAATATACATCCAGCGCCGTTTTCTTTATTGCTTTTGTAAAATATTTGCCCGTCAGTGGCAAACCTAACTTTTATGTGTATTAAATAAGCTAGGGATGCACCAATTACTCATTCACAACCACTTTAAGATTAATTAAGATGGCCATGTCTTAGCAGCTACTTTAAAATGGGTAACCAGAGTGTATAGAGTTTAGTTTTCTTAGTTAAATGGCCAAAATATTCACTTACTGTATGTTGGTGTAGCTCAAAACATTTTTATGAGCGAAACTTGAAGAGATTTTGTGCATTTGGTGAAACATCAAGTCTTGTCATGAATGAAAACTGTTGTGATGTAATCCTAACACGAGTGGGTTGTTAAGTTTACATGCTACATTTAATTGCATGCATAACCACAGTAACTTTTTACTCTAAGTTTAAAATAATCTAAAGATCAATCGGTTATTTAACCGTTCAGATAATGGTAGTTTTTTTTTCTTTTACTTTAATAGAGAATATGCTGAAAGTTTATCCAGAGACAACACGCAGTCGTCTCTTCAGAAATGGTACCTTAGCATCACATAAAGCAACCGTTGACCTTAATATGTAAACACAACAGACACTGAACATTTTGACTTTGTCTTTGGGGGAAGTCATTCTTATTCAGCCCCACTGCTGACCATAGAGCCTCAATGCCGATATTAAATGAAGTCATGCATACATTTGCATAAATTTCACGGAGTACTGAGTAAATCCATTTATGGATCAAATTCTCCCCCCACCCCATGTATGCACATTATGATAAAAGCAACTTGTAATATTTTTTGCCCCCCTCATTTAAGCTTCAAGTGTTCCTGGTAATTTATGAATCGAGAGTTTTCGATCCTCGGGTCAAAACTGAAAATATCTTCCGCTGTTCTTTAATACTTGAAAGAGTCATGCTTTTTGCATGTTCGGAAAACAGAAACGGGCCTGGATATGCCACCTTTGTATCTCCCATGCTATACAGTGTCCATCATGCCAGGGGTAATGTTTCGTACTTCCCTCTGGCAGTGATGAAAGATCGGATAATGTGTAACCAAACCAAGTGCTGAGGAAATGCAAAAGGTTTCTATTGACAAATGCAATAGTCTTTGATGCTACCAACGCTCAGCAGACCGAGGCATGTGCACCCATCTGTAGCCGTTTCAAATATTTGGGAATCGCATCAAAAGAATTGGCAGTGAGAAGACGGGGAACAGTGTGTTGCAAAACATGCGGTTTTTATCGTAAAAAAAAAAAAAAGGGGGAATAATGGTGACCGTCTTTTAATTTGATTCTGCAACATCTGTGAATTTCAATGGCCGTCTCTGAAGTTCACTTGGTTATTTGAAAAGCTTGCGAGATAGGAATCAGCGCTCGGTCTGTTTGTGTGTGAGGGAATGGCAGAACAGGCAAGGCAAAAGGAAGGAAGGAAGGGAGGGAGGGAGTTGGACTACTTACGTTAACCTCAGTGATCGCTATGTCAACAATGCTACCCACAACTATCAAGGCATCAAATGTGTTCCATGCATCAACAAAATAATGCTGTGTGGGGGATGGAAAGAAAAAGGGGGGAAAACAACAGAAGAACAAAGAAAAGGACAGAACGTAAGACATAAAAAAAAGAGATGGAAACGACAGAAATCAAAGGAGAGAGGAGAAAAAAATAAGATAAAAACATTACATACAGGAGCATTGGAGTTCTGAGCAGGAGGAAAGAGGGAAAGAATCAACAAAATTAAACGGCGAACAAAACAAAAGAAGGGGCAGTCTGAAAAAGATGGACAGCAGAGGAGGAGCAGCAGCGGCTGGTCATGCTTGTCCATGAGAGGAGATGTCATCAAGAACCACAGTCAGGAACAAAATCACAACAACAATGAAAAAGTGCCTTCTGCTGGAGTTAAGAAGCTGCGTGAGACTGCTTGTCTCACTGTCTCACTGTCAGTGAGTTAGTTCAGTTAGTGAGGGGTATGGGTGATCAAATGAAATAAATCTAGAACCCAACAACATTTCAAATACAGCAAAGAAGGAGAGCGCAATGGATAAACTCTGTAAGGCTGAACCCTGCCTGCGAAGGCTCTTCTTTCTTGTTTGGAAAGCCGTAAGGCTGGGAGAAGGTGACGAAGGGGGTCCCCCTTAGTGGCAGTGGCCATCTTGGATTTAAGTATGAAGGGAGAGGAGAAAGGAGGAGGAAGAAGAAGTAGGAAGAAAGAGAAACGGGCTGACAAAGAAGACAGAAACTGCAGCCTGACAGAAGAAGTCGAGAAGAGGGGAAAGAGAGCGTAGAAAAGAAACACGAGACGAGGACAGGAAGAGAAAAGACAACGAGAGCGAAAAGGGGGGCATCGTACTTACGTTGATCTCACTGAGAATGACGTCTATTATGCTGCCAATTACGATGAGGAAATCAAACACATTCCAGGGATCACTAAAGTACCCCTACACAGGATGAGGTGAGCAAGAGGAGGAGGAGGGTGAGAAAGGTATGTTAGAAGGAAAACAACATCTGCTGCCACTTCGCAGCCCCCATTAAGGTGGTATGAAGCTGTACAGTGGACTGTAGAAACTTAAAAAAACAAAAAAAAACCAATCAGCTCAACGTGATGAGCTGACACATAAAAGTGCAAGATGTTACCATAACACTTTGGACCCGTTCAAAATGGCGTGTTCAACTGTTGTTGTTTTCGGTGCCTTGCAAAAATACAGAAACCCCTTGAACTTTGTCACAACTACAAAAGTCCATGCTTCTTTTAAATTAGTTTTTTAGGATTTTATGCACCAACAAAATGATTGATTGATTCAAACATAAATGTTCAACACTTGCCACGTACTTGCAGTTTAGGTGGTCTTAGTAGATTTGCAGTGGTGCCATAGTCTTTCCATTTCCAGGCAATGGACTGAACAGTGCTCAATAAGATTTTCTAAATCTTGGGGTTTGGGTTAATTTTGCTACAACAAGACTAAGGGCTACCTCTCTAATTAAGCTGGTGCCCGGTGTATCCATCATGTTGGTCTGGCACATAAAATCCTAATAAAGTACAAACTTCTGGCTGTAAGATATAGCATGTAAAGTACATAATTAAAATATGTATGCATATACACTTTTGCAAGACACCATCTATACCGGACTGCCATTGTAACATATTAACTGATGTTCTATATAGTAGCTCTATAAATAAAAAACATCTTAACTAATCTTTGGTATGATGGCTTTAGTCATTTTTAGGAAATCATAGTAAACTTCAGGCATATTAGAATTTATTTACAGTACTAATGAATAGATCGATTACATCTAACAAGCTCACATAGGCACACATGACTTGTAAAACTAAGGAGGGCATCATCAAACACTACAAGTCTTGACAAACTTGCTTAAAACCAGAAGCATACGATCATAGCTCCCAAATTAAAAACAAAAAGAAATTAGAAAAGCCATTTAAAACATTTAGACATCCTTTTGGCTGTAAAACCTGCTTAAAAAGAAAACAATAAATTAGACGGCAGTAGACGTTGTCCAGATGCGATTTCATGCTGGAGCCAATTCCAAGATTACCTGCAAAGTAGACCTGAGCCTTTTTTCACATTAACAGTTCAATGATTGTCAAACCACACAAAGTGGCATGCGTTTCTAGCAGAAATTCCTACAAGAGCTTTGCAAAGTTCAATCATGCAACAACAAAGAAATATTTCTTACACATACAGTAAATATTTCATGAGATTTAATGTAATTTTCTATACTGAAAGATTCCTTTATAATTACAAATGTTATTGTACAGCATAAATTTGAAACCTGAGCTCTTAATTCAGGAGGTAGAAGTTATGCTACTGATTGTTTATAGGGATTTTTCCATTAACGCTGCTGTAATTGAGCGAAGCATTCCCATCTGTTACTGTTTGAGTTGCTAATACACAAGGGGATTATTAGCCTGGACCAATGAATGAATGCAGCTACATAGCAACCACAGCGAAGTAACGAGGGAGCGGTGAGATTAAAATATGCTGTGCACTTTCTGTTCTGTTATGCCTGGTTATGGCAAAACCGATGCCCCTTAAATTATATTCGCTTGCGTTGTTTATATCACAAAATAATAGACATTCTCAAATCTACAATTAAGTACTTGTTGAAAACGTACCCTGGGCTTGAAGGCGATTAATTTTAGGATCATCTCTACTGTGAACAGTCCTGTGAAGAGCATGTTGAGGATGTTCATTGCATCATTGAAATTTTTGGTCTGTCCATGGTGCTGCAAAAGAGAAAAAGGGAATGTAACAGTATCACTAAATGCAGCACTCTCCACAATTTTTGTATGGCTCATCCAAAAAAAAAAAAAAAAAATCTCAGTCAGCAACAACAAAAATCTAATCTTTGATTTCAAAACGTCTAATTAGTGTCCATAAATCCTGAATTATACCCAAAGTTGTTTCAGAATCAGTAATTCCTAACTTGGGATTTTCTTCCCACTTGAATGAAAGCTCTTGATTTCTTGTTAGTGTGTATTTGTACAACTGCAATAAAAGCTGAACATTTTCAAAAGGCTTTTTTCTCTCTCTCTCTCTTTATACCAGGCTTGCTGAAAACTCTGGAGAGTGCCGAGTGTCGGTGTACATGTGTGACTCACCTGCATGGCCAGACAGATGGTGTTGAGGAGGATGAGAGTGAACATCAGGTACTCGAAGTAGGTAGAGTTGACCACATACCACACCTTGTACTGGTAAGGGTTCTTGGGGATGTAACGACGCAGAGGTCGAGCCTTCAGGGCGTATTCCACACACTGACGCTGAAACACATCCACAAATGTGAGCTTTTACCTCTGATATTGGCTTGCATGGTAGTTCTCTTTTTTTATACCCCCCCTTTTTTTTATTTTTATCCCTGACTATGATACTGTAAGAGATCTAGAAGAGTTTTTTGGTAGTCTTGTCTTATTGCTGCAACCTGCCTTTTTGACATTATTGAATCCCATTATCAAGTAGGACAGTCCCTTATTGCCTAACGCTCCCCCCCCCCGTCCATGACGCTGATCTACCGCACCATAAAGCGCCCGCAGACCAAACCAAGCACTACCTGGTTCTTGTCCAGCTCACAGTTCTTATACTCCTGCTCTCCTTGCTCCTGAAATGTGACGATGACGAAACCGACGAAGATGTTCATCATGAAAAAGGCGATGATAATGATGTAGATGATGAAGAAGATAGAAATGACCACGCGGTAGTTGTAGATTGGTCCGACATCTTCAGCGTGAGAGTCTATGGCTCGGTACAGCAACCTAACAGACCAGAGCAGATGGAGAGCACGAACAAATTTCAGTTAATTGTCAGAGATAGATCCACAAAAGAGATGAGTTAAACTTCGTAGTGGCTTGCAAAAATATTCGTACCTTCTGAACTTTTTTACATTTCGTTACCTTACAACCACAACCTGCCTTTTCCGTCTATTTAATGTATTTTATGTGGTGAACGAATGCAAAAACAATAAAAAAAATCACATAAATGTAAAGTTGAAACAAACAGTCGAATAGCTTTCAAAATTGCATCCCTAAAATAAACGCCACCATAACTGCACAAAAAAGTATCAACTAAGAAGGGTGGAAAACAAATGGATGTCAAATTTTTTATTTGGAATAAAAAAAAAAGACAAAATAGAAATTTCTTATGTGAAAAAGTTCAAGTAGTATGAAGTCTCCTGTAAGTCAACGTAAGTAGAAAGAAACACACCCGGGCCAGCCCTCAAATGTAGACACGGCAAACAAAGCCATCATTCCCTGCAGGACATCGTCAAAGTTGAAGTCGCTGTTTTCCCAGATTCTCAGGGCTTTTTCTGGTTTCCTCACGTCCCCATCCTTATACATGATGTAGGAACCTCTGAAAACACAAGTGCGCACACATTGACGTCCAGCAAATAGAGTCTAAGAGGAAAAAAAAAATACCATTCATGGTAAAGGGGGTGTTTTCATACCTGCACTCTGCCTGAGTCTGTTTGGAGCTGTCACTACAGTAGAAGAACTTGCCCTGTTTGAAAGACGTAGAATTTTTATTTTTTTTTTCTTCCTTCAGCTAAAGACGGATGTTCTGCTCTCTTTTCCTTACCTTGAATAGTTGCACTCCAATACAGGCAAACATAAACTGGAGCAATGTAGTGACGATGACGATGTTGCCGATGGTTCTGATGGCCACAAAAACGCACTGCACGACATGCTAAAAACCACAGCAAAGATTACAGTTAGCGTATTGATGTCGGCCTCTTTGAACCAGGAGAGTATTTTCTTTCTGTGTGTGTGTGTTTGTGTGAACCTTTAGTCCTTTGGCTCTGTTGATGGCTCTCAGCGGTCTCAGCACTCGCAGGACTCTCAGGATCTTTACAACATTAATTGCACTGGACCTGAAAAAAATGACGTGGTAAACTAATACCCACTCGAAAGTACCTGCATTTTGGAGGAACTCGCATCACAGCTCGTCTGCGTTTTTATTTTACCCCAAACAAGAAAAAACTCAAACGAGATAAGGATAATCCTATTAATGATTTTTCCCCCTCCATTATGACCCAATTATTAATAAAGCTATAGCCATTCTAATATTTTTTAATATTTTCTCTGACAAGAATGATTCACAAGAGACTTTATCAGCAATTTTTTAATATAATACAGACACACAAAAACATTGACAAGAACACGGGTACAACATGAAGAGACCAACATAAAGACACAAGACGTTTTACAAGCAAACAGAGAAATTCTGTGCTGTAAAAGAGTGTCAGGTCAAGCCGACGGTCAAACAGTGTGAACCCTTAAAGGAGGTGCTCAAAAAAGAATGACTTGTACGGAACTACAAAAGGACCAAATTTATATGTTGACATTTTGAGTTTATCCACTAACTGATTAGTAAAACCAAGAAGACTGGTTCTCTTAGCAACTGAACCAAGTTTCTGTGCATAATTAGTTACTCTGAAAGCCAACACATATGCTTTTATAAAAAAAAAAAATACAGCTTATTTACTGTAAATTAGAGATGGGACTGATCCTTTATCAATATTGAACCCAGCACCAACATGTTTTTGTTGTTGTTGTATTGGATATGAACTAAGAGCACAGATCTATTCATGAATCCAGGATCTGTGATTATGTGGTGCTGGAGGTGATGTTCAAGGCTAATTTTACTCTGGAAGTGTGACATTACAGCCATAAAAAATGTTAATCACACGCAATTGCAACATACTGGAACAGTTAAGTCTTCTCATTGGTTTTCTTAATGAATTAGTGACACACATGGTGTTGTACATTCTCTGTGCTTCCTTTGGAATTTGAACTTGTAAAATGAACAAAAATACATTTTGCCCATTTGTATTGGGATTGGTCGTTGGTACGCTACGGCTATTAGGAAATCTCACTCGTTTTCCAAATTACAACTGAAATGCTTTTAACTAGGGAATCAGATTTTTTCCAGTAAACACCAATCATTGCATTTCATTTTCAGATCATGTTATAAACATTTTGCACTTAAAATGGCATTAGAGTTGAAGGTCGTATTTTGTGAAACAGCTAATCAACTCCGGGTAAAGTCCTTTGGCCTCTTTCCTCCGTGTTCTCAACAGATTTTGCAGCTTAATGTGAACGTAGGCATGAACAGATCACTCTCGTGCTTATTATGTAACGATGTGTCTTGAAAATATAAATCATGTAAACATCTTTAGCTGGCAATGCCTCTGTGTTGCATTCATACAAGCTTATTTTTACACCATTATCAAAACCAGCACTAACTGCATTCAGGATCGGCAAATATTGATATCAAAAGGTAATTAAATTCCTATATCAGGATTAGATAAGAACCCATCTTTCCATTAGAATCGTTAGAAGAATTCAAAATGTCAACATAAATTTTCAACAGGGTGACTCTGGGGGAGGCTAAAGGAGTGATTTGAAGAGAAACATTATTTTTGAAAAGAGAAAATAGGATAAAAACACCTGTTGTGCAACTCTTTACAGAGGAAGGAAAAAGTCTGAAAGCAGTTAAAGGCAGTTTCCGTGGAGTGGGATGTTATCAGCCACATATCACAGTCAAACTAGCTGTGAGGATATACTCAAGTTATAGCACATTCTTTGAAAAAAAGTAATAGTTTAAGATATTGACTGAGTTGAGCGGGCTGACAGGGATGAAGAACACTATTTACCAACCACCTGAAGATAAGAAGTACTCTATCCATCTAAAAGAAAAGCAAAAATACAAATGGGACCATAAGATATTAAGATAAATATTGGCCAGGATGCCAATAAAAATGTTCCATGTATATACGGAGTGCTTCAAAACTATTTACATTCTTAAGTTTTGTTTTTTTTTTTTTTAGTTTTGTCATGTTGCAACCACCAACTTATGTGTATTTTAAAGTGAAATTCATTTCCAGAAAAATAAAAGTAGGAAGTGGAAAGAAACTGATACTTACTGTTAAAGAAAAACTTCTGAAAAGAGGAGCATCCTTTATTCTAATGACTAATTATACATCTTCTAAATAGAACTGGTAGCCCTACAGTTTCACAAATGCGTTGCACAAATCTCAGAATTTTATTTACTACCATCCACTAGAAGGTTTTCGGCACATCTGCACAAACATTTTTTATGTCTTACAAATTATGCAGACCCAACAAAGCCCCAGGCAAATGTTTCAACTTGATAGACCTAGAAAATTTGTCATTTAAGTCATATGAGATTAAGACAAATAGACTACAAAACAGCTGAGTTCGAAAATCTCAAAAAAATAAAAAATAAAAACAGTTATTTTGGTTTTATGGAATAAAATCCCAAAGAAATACATTAGAGTTTGTGTTTGTAACATGACGGTCTAAAAAAAAAAAAATGTTCAAGGCGTGTTATTACTTTTGCAAGGTACTGTTCAGTGTGTTAATCATCAATCCAAGCCGGCCTTGCTTCTCTTTCTATTAAACATGACAAAATAACCACGTGTCGACTTGCATTCACCTAAACTTCTGATCAAAGTGCCTCATAGGAAAATAAAAAAAAAAGAAAGTGCTATGTTGTAAGAGCCACAGGCACAATAAAATGCAGCACCATCACAATTAATTCAACTGTGATACATTCATGAAAAATCCCACACACACTCATTCAGTACCTTTAACAGGCAAATAAAACCCACTGAGTTTAACATTCACGTGTAATTTCTATAGCCCAGGAGAGTATACCTTTATTCAGAAACAGCAGAAATGAATTTGACCCATTACATTAATAAAATGGGTGACTGCTCAATTTATCCAAGACCCAGGATAATTTAGCCACTGAAAAAAAAAATCTTATGGTCAAAAACTAATTATGCAGCCTCCTGCAAATACATATTACGACATAAATTTAGCACTAAGTCATTTTTTTTTAATACAAGACATCCAAGCACAAATGGATGTGCTTGACATTTTTTAGGTTACTTTTTTTTTTAAATCGGATTTTCATCGAGACCTACTAAACTCTCCAAGACCATAGAAATATCAAATCAAAAGAGTGACAACTTTACACGGTAGAGGTGAAGGTCTATTAAAGGGGTTATTAATACAGACTAATGTGGACTTACGTCGAGAAGTCTAGTCTATTAAGCATTAGAGACAGAGAGTGTAGCAAAGCATATTAAACATCACAGCAGTTCAAGGAGTTATTAGACTAGAAGCAGAAAGTAAGGAGCAGAAAACATCCTTTTTAATAAACATCACAAAGGGATAGAGGGTCTGATGCAACATCGTGTGACAAAGTTAAGGTAAATGTGAAGCGTGGCAGAGTTCCAAGCTCAAATTGTTGTCAAACCGCTAAATACAGGTGAATTAGCTCTACAACTCATGTAGTCAACCCCAATCTTTTGTGCCATGTTAGAAAATTAAACACTATTAAGTCTTGATACACATTTGCATTGCTTTCCTAAATGATGATGAAGGTATTCTTGCAGAAAGTTATGATTACATAAACATTACCCTTTAAGACTGTAAAACATGCCGAGCAAAAGTTGTCGATGCACTTACTGTATTCCAGAAGAGATGAGAGAAACGCTGACCACTACTAAGTCCAGAATGTTGAAATAATTTCTACAGAATGAACCTTTATGGAGGAAGGCTCCATAGGCTGTCATCTGCAATTAAATGGACAATGTTTTCTAACATGTTTTTTTAATATGGAATAGTTACATTTTGAACTAACTCAGCCTCATCTAGACCTAATTGCTAACAGTATAGAGCTAATTACTTTCACAGAATCTCAAAAGCAAGACAAATGTTGGCAACATTTATCAGAGTGGGGTCATAAAGTCCTCTCTAAGGCTTTAGGATTTTAACATAAAATAACGGTAGTTGTTGGTGCCTTTGTATTTACGCAGAGTATTTCTGCATGAAATATTTAAGCTTGTTTAATCTGGAGAGAGTGTGCCAAAAAAAAGAGAAAAAATATGTGTCAAAAGTATTTGGCATGCTCCAAAATGTATGTTATAACCAGTAAACACTACCTTAAGAATGATCTCAATGGTGAAGAGTCCAGTGAAGACGTGATCTGCATAGCCCAGGATCTGAAAGCACAACAGGAAGCATTGTTTTTTTGTGCGTGTCTCATTTATATAACCATTAAATCTCGAGGAGTAAACAGAAATATTTCATAGTTGTTTAATCTTTTCCTGGAATGAAAATGTAACTTTTTTCCCCTCTAACAGTGAGGATTTTTCTGACCTAAATGTTATCTTTCTTATGTTCTACTAGAGCTGCATAAAATATTGAATCACATTCATCATTGGAACATCAATATTTGCAATACTGCACCCGCAATGGATTTCTTGCATTAAATTTTTGATAGGATATTACATTTTAAGAAAATATTTATGTATTCTAGGGCATTCATACTTTGCTCACAAATAATACATTTGGACAGTTGGATGGACTCCAACTGCTCTTGATGCCTATACTGGATGTATGGTTTGGTTTTTGTAAATTTAGATGAGCAGCAATTTTATAGTTGGTATTTCCTGATTATGAAGATCAACACATTTCAGTCTCCCTTACTGAAATGGTATGTTTGCTTTTCTTTTCTCATTTTGAAGCCTTGCCAAGAGAAATAGGCCTCTTCTTTTTCCCTTTTACTGATTAATTATTGATGAACTTTTGGAATAAATGTAAATCATCAACTAAAATAGCAACAATCCAAAAGAGCACCGTGGGTGACTCCACATAAACTAACATTATACAGCATTTGTTAAGATTTATTTCAAAAAGAGACAAAAATAAATTGCAAGCAGATTAAAATGCATGTAACTCTCTAAATCTCTAACTGCTGCTAAGTGCTTGCCCTGTTTAACTGTAATGTGTACCAATGCCAGGGAAACTTCTATAAAGCAGATCCCCGTTGGCCCCAGGGGGACGCGTGTTTCTGACTGAGAGAGGAAACGATGTACATGAGCAGATAAAACACTCATGGTGCTCAGCCTTTCCATTATACCACAGCACAATTACCACCATAAACACTAAATAAATAATAAGCTGTATAAACAACACACAGCGAGGCTTTATTAATAAATGCAGCTGCCTCATAAGGACAAACTGTAATGACTTTGTAGTTTTAGAGCTTTGCGCTCGAGGCCGAACGTCTCTGCTCCCATCTCGTGATAATACAACACTTGAGGACAAAAGACATAGTTTTAATGCACCTCAGCACAGAGTTTTGGTTAAGTGAAGGTTAACTAAAGTAAAATAAGCAATTTGTATGTGTACAAAACAAAGATTACACTTATATTTCTTGCTTGGGTAAAAAAAAGAAAGCATGCATTAAAGAGAGAAAAGAAGAGTTTTTTTTTGCAAGTTAATAATAGTTACAGTACTGGAAGCAATCTCATTAAGTGTAACAGGCCAGGCACAAACAGCTCAGTTTGTCTATATTTTGCTGTCAGCTATAATCCTTTAGTTAATAATATGTGTGTGGGTTGCTAATGATGGCTACCAAGACATCAGTCTGTGCCGTGCTTGATGTGGGTCTTATCTGGCCCCATGTGAGTGGAGGGCCTCAGGTCCAAATCACAACAGCAGATTAAGCTATAGGACATGGCAAACAAAAGGAGTCTAAGAAATAGTTTAAAAAGGTAAAGAAATATATAGTAACTGCACCAGTTCTAAAAGAGAATCTCGGTTTATTTAGTTCATAAATTGTAAGTTCAACTTCTCCTGAATTGAACTTATGACAAGTTATGACAAAGCAATTTGCTTTATATTAGAGGTGTGCCGATCGATCGGTCACCGTTCATAATCGTGCCGATTTTCGTGAAAAAGTGCATGATCGGTGATCGGCGATCATTGGCTCTTTTACCGATACCGATCATCTCATTTCGCAGCCTGCCTGTACAGCTGGTCTCCTCTTTCCTTCACTCTGCGTAAACG